CCTCCCGGGTGGTATGAAAAACTGTTCAGTTTCTTTACCTTCAATAGAGGAATGCATAGAGCTAACTCCTTATCTCCTGGGCTTCTGGAAAGGTTGATGCGTTAGTCCGCTGTCTTTCCTTCGGCTTTAGAGGGATGAGTAGTTCTTTTCCTGGAAAAGTACCAACCAATTTTTGAATTTAGCATTGTGTGCTTTATCAATTGGTCTTTTCCCTCATACTTCGAGGGTCTTCCCCTCGAGCTGAGCTATTGAGAATAAATAAGTTGATTCAATCCTTTTGGATTGATCCACTTAACCACTGGTTTTTGGTTCCAGTGGCAACCGAACAGTTTCCCATACCATTTGTGTTTTACCACCCGGTATGGAGCCATCTTACATTTCGTCGGGTGCTCTTTGACTGAGTGCGTGGGACCCACTCATAAGGTTTGTTGGACCCGGCTAAGCCCCCTCCCGGTAGGGCTAGAGCGACAGCAAAGAAATGGTCTTCTTAGGTTTGGCAATTTTACTACCTCCTGTCGAAGAGCCGTCCATCTACTTACTTCCTGCGACCGCCTTCTTGTCGCCCGCCTTTTTCTCTCCCCTCTTAGTGAACCCACTTTCTTTAGTAAAGCGGTTTTGCATCCGTTCACTTCTTGACTTTCCATGGGTTTCTTAGAGAGCAAGTGGTTCTCGGTTCCCCACATTTATCTACCCCTTCTGTTCTGAGACGTGTATTTTCGTCGTCCCTCCTTTAAATAAGATCCCTCACTTATAGCTCGACGGCCCCACACGTGGATGGGGCATTCAGATTCTTTTTATAGCGGGATCGTAACATCCTCTTAGTTTTGTCGAAATTGGACAAACACGTGTTCCTCAACCCTAGGTAGGGCGTGACTAGGACATACCTAGCCACTCGAGCCAGACTATTGTCTACCTGAATAGCTTTTCGTTTGCCATTAACTGATCACCAATGTTGTGTAACAGTCACTCAAATACAGGGTTAGAGGAGCACCGTCCTTTCTTATCTTGTGACCTTGAATTGGTTAGGTGATCAATCTTTGGATTCAGGGTTTAGTAGCACGTCGAGCCGAATCTATATCGGTCGTTATGGGTAATCGTTTGCAACCTTAGGGCTTTTGGTACTTGGAATACACCATGTATAAGAAAACCTTAATCGAGGGGGAGGGTGTGAGTAGGTGGTTGGATTACTGTGAAGGTCTCTGCGAGCTTGAGGGCATTGAAGACTATTGTCTCCACCACTAAAAACGGGTAATACTCGCTCAAAGTGATGAAATCTGTCGAGGAAACATAAGCAGTTTCCTGTGTAGTGATCTCTGTTCATGCGTATCGTGATCACAGGCATAGGGCTGTGGTTGGTTCATCGAAAAAGATGAGCCGCAGCCAGGACAATCGTGCTGGTTGCCATCCTTGAAGGGACCGATAGCTATATCGGAACCCCAACAGGTTGGATGTGAGCAAGAGAATGGGAAATGAGACTAACTGTGTTGACTAGTCCACTGCCGATCAAATCAACTGGTCAGTTAGGAACTCTCCCATTCCATTTGCATATCACTTTAAGTTTTTGTCAAAGCTTTCCATACCTGTTCCGGGCAGCAGGAGGTTAGCAGATGGGGCCCCTATTCTGTGAGGGAGAAATTGCGCACACGCAAGGGAGAAAATCGCCCGCGTGCGCACGCGTGTATATAGTACTGCTATATTATATAGTTTAGTACTGCTCAATCCAGTCATGAGATTTGAGCATAAATCTAATTAGATTTTTGCATCTACTCCAAAAGGGAGTGGAATAAGACCAGCATTATGAACTACTGTTCACTGAAAACCGTATGTGTACTACTCACTTCCAATACAAGTAGAAGTAGACTTACTTGATTTGATCACGTGAGGGATCAAAGAGAAAAGGCTATTGCACTCCAAAAAGGAGGCCTATTTGGCTGATTTAGGAAACCAGACGTATGATCCTGCACGCGCCTACTCCAAGTCTGTGTTTTGAGCGCATTTGACTATGAAATCAGGCCTCTGCGCCTGGGTCATCTTCACCCAAACATGCATACCATGGAAAAGCCATCTTGATATTAAGGGGAATTCCTCCTAACATTGGAAACTTTCTGTTGACCCTAGCTTTGCACCAAGGCACTTTTCTTATCTTTTCGCGTTAAGGCGGAGCAGTCAGGTAACGAACTGGAACTGGAAACCGGCTAACGTTACTTTTCCTTTGCTACTGAATAGACAAAACAAGGTAAGGACAAAAGGTTTCCCCCGAACCCCCTTCCCAAAGGAGTAGAAGGGAAAAGACTAGACCTATTCAATAGATCAAGTCTAGCTTTCCCTACTATTCAAAGGAAAGGGACAGAATAGAAAGCTACCGATGTAGCTGATTGGTCTCCTCGATCGTTCCCTCGATCGGTCATTCCTCGTCAACCTTGTTAAAGGAAGTTCAACTAAACAACTGCACTAAAGGAAAGGCTCTCTCCGTTATAAACTATTCCGCTCCCTAACCTACCTTCTGGTCGATCTGTACTCTTCACTACGGTTTCAAGTACTCACTCCATCGAGCTAGTCACGCCTCTCGGATTCACTCCTCGAGGCTAGGAACAGTCCTGCGGCACCGGGTCGATACAGACTAAAGTCCATGTCTCCCACAAAGGATTGTTCATGGAACTACTATCGAAATTATTCGGACCATATTTCCAAGTGTCATTCTTTTGTTCATTGCTATACCATCGTTTGGTCTTGCGTTGACAGTACTAATAATGGCATTTGTTGTATTATTCGGAGTTCAAGGAATAGCCTTTCATCTTGGGAATGAGAATGTCACGGATCTCAATGTTCTCGTCATGACCAATGCTCCTAACGAGGGTGACTTTCCCATAGACCAACCTCCCGTTGGCGGACTACCAGCAGGAAATGGCGCACGCCGCCCATCCAGAAGACATAATTGCGGAGTTGACTTCCAAGGTTGAAAGAATATTTCACGAAGTAGGCACTCCGCTTCCTTTAGAGGAAGGTGAATCTGCGCGATCGTTCACTCAAAATCATGTATTGTGGAATAGTGAGGGAGGAGATACTCTTCAAAAAATCTTCTCTGATTATACGGAAGCCGGGGACGCAAGTGAATTCATCGCAATAGCCACCAATCTGGCGAAGTGGTTTCGCCGCGCCGAGCTCGGTGAACCGGATTCTCCTGACCCCGATGCGCCTTTGGAAGAGCAGGAGGATCATTCCACGGGATCCCCTGAAAGCACAAAAGCAAATGATGGGGCGAACAAGGCAGGCCCGTCTTCTTCGCAGAAGCATAAAAGGTGGGATGATGATTCGGGGTCCGAAGATGATGATTCAGGGGGCCCCGGGGAATCTCCAGATCCAGTGGAAATCATTTACAGAGGGGATGCACAAGGGTACAACTGGGAGGGGAATTAGGTTGGCCGCCAACTTCACCTGCCTTTCTATCTGAGTTCTTCCCTCTTGATGCTTTTGAACGACTCCTAAATTTCACAAAATCCTTTTTTTTCTTATTTGAAATCCAAATCGAAATGCCTCAACTTGATAAATTAACTTATTTCTCACAATTCTTCTGGTTATGTCTTCTCCTCTTTACTTTTTATATTCTCTTATTTAATAATAATAATGGAATACTTGGAATTAGTAGAATTCTCAAACTACGAAACCAACTGCTTTCGCACCGGGGGGCGAGATCCGGAGGAAGGACCCTAAGAATCTGGAAGATATCTCGAGAAAAGGTTTTAGCACCGGTCTCTCATATATGTACTCCAGTTTATCCGAAGTATCCCAATGGTGTAAGACCGTCGACTATTTGGGAAAAAGGAGGAAAATCACTCTGATCTCTGATTTCGGAGAAATAAGTGGCTCACGAGGTATGGAGAGACAGATTCTCTATTTGATCTCGAAGTCCTCATATAACACTTCTTCCAGTCGGATCACTTGTTGGAAAAACATAATGCTCATACATGTTCCACATGGGCAAGGAAGCATAATATCATGAAAGCCGTCTGATAATATTTCTATAGGTTCCCCGAAGAGAATGGAAAAATCACAAAACACTTTCTATATGTTCTGTTATTTCGAGATTCGAAGAAGCAAGCAAGTTTTTCATATAGCTGTTTCCTGTGTAGTGATCTCTGTTCGTGGAGATCATGAGGCCCCTCATACCCTGTGGTACGGGGGGGGGGGGGTATACCGGACCAGGTAACCAGAAGATAAGGCCACTCGGCAAGACTGGACTAGTTTAACACGGCTATCTAGTGGAACACTATATATATATAGGACTTGTAGAGCTTGAAAAAGCTTGTTTTGGTCTTTTTTTCTCTTTTTCTGGGCACTGAACTTCATAGACAGACTTACCAACTGATGAGCCAAAGTAGCAAATTTCTTCTTCCTGGGTGGGGCGGACTCTATGTTGGTAGATCAAACTTTCATTTCTTCCTTCCATTTCATCTGTTCAAGTAGTCTCCTTTTCAAGTAGATACACTTTGATACCAGACTGGTGTGCTAAAAGGCGTGAATGCAAATAAAAAACATCCCCTGGATAAGCCTCATGGCCGGGACTTAATAGAAGGGACATTTGGCGATAAGCTTGTGCCTGTTTGGAGAGATCATCATAAATTATTAAAGTATGCCGTTCGCGGTGAAGTGAGAGACAATTGGTTTCAACTGTGTCATAGGGGTTGTATTCTTAGACCTGCCAGGCGGGAGGAACCACCGTCCTGCTCTTGGTCTTGGAGCATCAGTGTCATCAATTCACCCAAGATCAGCATGACAAATAACTACTAGGTTTGTGCCAGAAAAGCGTCTTGCATGACGGGGAAAGAGTGGAAAAAGAAAGAGATTCATCAGCTATGGAATCTGACAGGCATCGGTATTGAACAGAGGGGGCTGTTCACAAAGCATCCCATGGATGGTAATGGTGCTTCCCCAACTGTTGTTCCTACTCCTTTGGCTGGTGCCAAATCAGGTGACTTTGAAGTTGAAGCTTGCCCGCAGAACGATGTAACCCTACTGGTAGTACTATGATTGCCTTAGAGCGCAGATGTCTCTATCCCTAGGAACGTGATGCTTAGGTGCGAGATGAAACACAAGCAGGAGATCGAGAAAAGAAATCATACGGATTGCAACCTATAGATGATGAATCTGCTTCATTGTTCCCACCATCTATATCAGATGTTTAATAAGAATAGGAATCGAATAAGCTGCTGATTGACTGATGAAGCATTTGAAAAGAAAGGAAGGGTGATGCTTGTTAAACAAAGCTGCGTGTGGGGCCGCCACGTATAGCTGTAGTTTCTGCTGTAGCATCGGTTATTTCCGTTATTGATGTAGTAGCATCGGTTATTGCTCAGGTTACGAATGACTCAATCTATCTATGGCAACCAACCCTACTTTTAGTAGATGGAGATGCGCACCTAGAAAAGACGGAAGAAAGAGAACCTGCCCTTCTGACTTCTTCTCTTGTCTGTCCTTTACGCAAAGCGATCTATGGTCTCAACAAACCCTGATAGCGTCGGTTTTTGAAGTTCAGCACAGTGGTTATGTTATCCAGGCAGGGTTTGCTCGGAGTGATCATGATTCGGCCATGTTCGTATCAGTTTATCCTCGAGGACGTGCTATTCTGTTGTTGTATGTTGATGATATCAAACTGACTGGTGATTACTCCGTTACCATATCGCTGATCAAGTGCCGCCTTCATCAATTATTTGCTATGAAGGCGCTGACGTGCCCTAAGCCTTTTCTTGGCTTGGAGGTCGCACATTCTCCTCATGGATATTTGGTATCTCAGATCGAATAACGTCATGACTTGATCACTCGAGCTTAACTCAATGATGAGAAGACAGTTGACAATTAGGCGATAAAAAGACGGAGGCCCCTCTCCCTTAATATTGGCTCGAGGGGCCAAATGACATAGTTATTTGGTCTACAGCAATACACGTATTTTCACGTTAAGGCGGAGCAGTCAGGTAACAAACTGGAACTGGAAACCGGCTAACGTTACTTTTCCTTTTCAGCTTCGGAGTTGCAAACCGGCAGACCTTACTTTTTCAAAAAGACAGAAGTACGGAAACTGATCCTATTTCAGATCTAGAATTGCATTCAAACTTAGGCCGTTTTGAATTGACATAGCTTGACCTGTGAACTCTCAGCACGTACGACAATTGCTTCGACAAACATTCGATAGACTAGCTTTCGAAGTGCCACGATCCTATCGAGTAAAATCATCCCCCGGGGATAACGGCTAGTGCAAGGCTACCCGCCTTACCACACTTTCCCTGAATGTAAGTTGCTCAGTCAACCAGGAAGATCATGGCAGCAAGACTAATTTGAGATTAGATCAGTGTCATCTGTAGCTCCCTGGTAATGAACTAGAAAAGAGACTGCTCACCGCTGAGAACAAGACGACCCAGGTTGTGGTTCTTCTCTAGTGTAGGCTAGCTGCTGGAACCCACCGAGTTCAAATCCAAGTTCGGAGCGGGGCGCATACTATTACCACTACGTTCCACACCATTTTCTGGCCTTCATGCCGAGTCTTCCTCCACCGCCAACTCAACATCGTCGTAACCAATTTCAACCAAACCTCCATGCTCACTGGTACTTTGACGTCACTATAGGTAGGTCTCCGTGGGTCTTGGGAAAGACGACTTCGGTTCACACGTGAAAGTGCTTCGAAAGGCACTGGCTCCCAATGGTGAAATTCTTGCTAAAAGCACAGCTACGTGCTGACACTCAATCAAGTAGTAGCGCTGGCACGTCACTCGGTGGCAATTTCTCCTTGGGCACATGTCTCAGCAACACAAAACGAGGGTTTCGCTCGTTATAGGACTTGACCAAACATCTCAGGACACGAGCTGACGACAGCCATGCAGCACCTGTATGAAAGTCAGTACCATCCTATTAAGCACAGGTTTTGTTGTTCATATGTCAATGGCTGGTAAGGTTTTGCGCGTTGTATCAAATTAGACCACATGCTCCACCGCTTGTGCAGGCCCCCGTCAATTCCTTTGAGTTTTGGTCTTGCGACCGTACTCCCCAGGCGGAGTGTTTCACGCGTTAGCTGGGCCCCTGATCCGCGTAGACCAAGGGCGAACACTCATCGTTTACGGCATGGACTACCAGGGTATCTAATCCTGTTCGCTCCCCGTGCTTTCGCACCCCAGCGTCGGTAGGGACCCAGAGAGCTGCCTTCGCTTTTGGCATTCCTTCGTACATCTACGGATTTCACCCCTACACACGAAATTCCACTCTCCTCTGTCTCACTCAAGTGAATTGGTTTCGACAGCATTCCGCCACTTTTTGGCGACTTTCACTTTCAACCCGAT